AAAGCGCGCCGACAACACCGCGGCACTAAAACCGCGATGTCAAAAGCGCGCCGACAACAGCGAGACGACAGAAGCGCGATTTAATTTAAGGTAAGATTTACAGTTAGGTTTAGGGTTAGGTTTAGGGTTAGGGTTAGGTTTAGGGTTACGTTACAGCGCACTTCTGTCGGCGCGCTCTTGTCAGCACGCTTTAGGGCTAATTCGTCGCTCATTCGTCACGCGGTTTTGTCACCACGCTTTAGACACCGCGGTTTAGTCAGGAGCACTTTTGTTGTGCGCGCATTTGTGGTGGAACCGTCTGTCTCAGGCCCAGCTGGAGCCCTTGAGAAGAAGAACCTTGGAAGACCGCTGAAGGTTCCTCTGGCAGCCATGGTATTAAAGGGATCCAGGAACAGCCTAAAATTCCCCAAACCTTTCCTGGGCCTGAGCCATCCTCCCCCACCCCAACTCACCCCTATATCCCTCCGTTCTCAAGAGCATCCGGGGACTCTGGCCAGACCAGGGGAGGTTGCTGCTCAGAGCTCGGCAAGACCTGAGCTTCTGCTATGGACTCCACGTACCGGCCCCAAGACAGAGGGCAGAGGCCTCTCCGCTACTTGCAAGGGCCACCTGTGTGTTCCCTTTGCTGATGTGGGACAGAGGAGCCTCTGCAGAGGCAATTGGGGGCTGGTGGCGACTGCAATGCCTGATGCAGGGGAGGGATGAGATTTGAGTGTGCCTTTTGCTGGGATTCAGCTGTTTGCTTGGGCAGGAAATAGCTTCCCTCCTTCAGCCAAGAGGGTTGCCTGCTTGGGCTTTCCTCTGCCCACAGGAGGGTGATGGAGGAAACCTTACTGTGGCAGAGTAGGGCAGCTGCCACAATAGGCTGGTGGAGGAAGGGGGGGGTGCAGAAACTAATCTGTGCTGCTTCCTCACCAACTCTTGAGCTTCCAGGTGAGCTGTCCACAGGCTGCCCTCCTGGCCACAGGGAGCCCCTGCTAGGTGGCTCAGACACCCCTTGCAACCAATGTTCCCTTTAATTTTTTTTCAGTGTATGCGGAAAAGTATAGCGTTTGAACGACACAGCCACGCAGCTTGGAGGGAACATTGCTTGCAACTGCAGCCCTCCCCTCCCACAAATTACTTTGGTTAGTAACTGGCAAGGAGCGGCTCTTACCTTGAAGTCTCCATTGAGGGGCTGGAAGAAGGGGGCTGGGCTGGGGGTGAAACAGTCCATCTTCTTCCACAACCTGTGAGGGGAAAAGGCAGTCAATCAGCAGATGTTGTCCCACCTGCTAAAGGCCGAGTGCTGAGCAAGAGTCCTGTCCCTGAGTCATTCAGCAACTTTAGTTTCTCAAGTCCCTGAACCCAGGAGGGGTCTTAAACTGGGGTCTTTGACCCGCCCAGTGGCTGGTCTTCCTGGAAGGAGGGACGGTCGTGACCCCCAGGCCATCATGAGGCAAAGAGCTCATCTGCACGCTGGGATATTCTTGATGAGTCTCTGGTCCCCGGCCTTTGCCGTTGGCCTCTTGAGATGCTCACCCAGGAGCAAAGCACACCAGCCCCAGCTCATGCAGCTCACCATGGGTTGGATATTGAGTCCAAGATGAAAAAAAGACATGGGGGGGGGGATCCCTGCAGTGGAAGGAGATGTGGAAAAGCTGCATGGGCTGGGCAAGGCATCTCCTGCTTCTGGCTTCCCCAGCAATGTCACTCACCTCTGGTGGCACCCCAGGAAGGCCATGAGGGCAACAATGGAGCTGAGCACCAGTAAGAACACCTCCAGCCATTGGACTGCGCCAGGCTCCGAAGCTAAAGGAGGGAAGGGAAAGAGTAACTTTGGTCTCCCAATCTTGAACAGCTGGTGCAGAGAGCCTGCTGCTGAGGAAGGCTCCAGAAGCCAGGTTGGCGGTCAGGATGCAGGTGTGGGGCAGATCTTTCACTCTCCAGAAACTGGCTTCTCTGCACTGAGAAGGTAACTGGGTAACCCAGGAGAAGCCAGGCTGCCCTTGCGCACGGAAAAGCCCAAAGAGGGGCCTGAGGTCAGGAGGACGTGCCTGGACTGCCTTCCCCCACCCCCCCAGCATCCTGGCTGTGAAGGGGAAGGTGCAGAAGGCAGGGCAGGGGGGCTTACCCTTGTGTGTGGTCTTGAAGGAGGCAAGGGGGCTCCAGTCACTCCACGTTCCCTGGTAAGGAGAGGCCGGCCTTGAGCGCACCTGGAACTCATACTCGGTGTCCTGCTCCAACTCCTGGGGCAGAAGCTGTAAACTGTGTAGGTTCTGCAGGGGGGATTTCTGGCTCTGCCCCTGCATGGAGGAAAAGGAGGAGAGAACTCCTGGGGGCACTTTTCCGAGTCCCCAGAAAGAACCTCCAGGAGTTGTGGGATTAAGCTGACCATGATTGCCAGAGAAAAGCTCAAATTGTCCTCAGAAAACAGTCTCTGAGGGACGGGGGTGGGGAGGATGTCCAGTCATGCCAAAAATTGCCCCATGGGATGTTCTAGGCACCCCTGACTTTGATTGGGCCTCAGCGGTTATTTCTTGAGATTTTTTTCAAAGCAGCTCCCCCCGCCCTTCCTGAGCTGCCATGAGATGATGGCTTGCTGGGGGCAGCAGAAAGACTCAGCCTTGTTCTCGAATCTCAGTCCCACTCGGCTATGTTTGGAGGAATAGCTACAGGGCCTTGATCCCTTACAGATTAACAGAATTGGAAGAGACCCTGTAGGTCATCCAGTCCAACCCCCCCCCCCCCATCCAAGCAGGAGACCCTGCCTCCACTGTTTCTGACAAAGGGCAGTCCAGTCTCTTCTTGAAAACCTCCCGTAATGAAGGCACAACTTCTCCCACGAAAACTGAAGGCAACTTATGTTCCATTGGGAGATTGTTCTCACTGGGGCGGCCAAGGAGGTGGCCTTTCCTTTGGCATCATGCCAGGGAAGTGCCAGGGAAGTTGGAGGAAACCTGGTTTTTAAAAATGCTGCTTTTCATAGGAAGTCCAAAGCTCTTCTCCCAGCCTTGGAGAAGAGACAGGCTAACTTTGTTAAACAAGCATCATTTGCATTTTTAAAAAGTGGGAGACTTAGTCGAATAAAGGCAAAAAGGAGGGGCAATTGCAAAAGGTCATAAGTCTTTCCCTAACACTAATTTTCCAAGTATTGTCTCAGCTGCAAAGATAAAATAATGTGTGCCTCACTTTAAAGGAAGCTTTTCTGCGTTTCCAGGTTTGCCTCATGAAAGGAGGAGGGCGAGTGGGAGGGAAGACTCCCCCCCCCCACCCTCCTAGGATGGAGCTGCTGCCTGGCTCGGGGCATTGGATGGCTTGCTCTGAAGCCCAGAGCCGACCTGCTGCCCTTCGAGGGGGACGGGCCAGCCATAGGCTGCTCTGGATGGTCTCTGGGTCACTCCTCCCTGCGGGTGCCTTTGGATGACCTCCCGAGCCCCATTACTTGAATCCTCCCCTTCCCACTCTGCCTCCTCACCTGCCAGGGCTGGACTTTTTCCTTGTACCGCAACTCATACTGCAGGTTGTCGCTCAGTAAGTGGTACTCAGGGTCCAGGTACTTGGTCTCCCAAGAAAGGGTGTAGCCGGCAGACGAGGCAGCTGCGGCCAGGTGGATTGGCGGATATGGCTTAACTGGGAAGGGAAGAAGCCACACTGGGGCACCCCACGACAGGGGGCATTCCCCCACCCACCCTCCCAAGGAGGAGAGAATGAAGGTGGCCCAGAGGGCCGAAGGGGCAACCCTCGCTTTAACTCCCTCTCCAAACCCCCGCCTGAGTCCTTGGTTTGCTTTCTTCTGCAGTAGCCAGAGACCACGTTTGCTTGGGCAGTTGCTGAAATGGCTTTTAGAGGCATTAAAGAAAAGCCTGTTTTCTGGCCCCGTCTTGCTCTTTGCAGCCTTGTCTTTGCGTGTGTTGTGTACAAACACTGTGGCCTTGAACATCAGAGCACCTTCACTGTGCTCAGTTTCTTCACTGCAAGGCCCATAAAGATAGCAAGCAAGGCCTGTGTTGCAGCCCTCCCGCCTGCTCCGGGAAAGCAGATCCCGGGCAAGGAGCAGCTGGAGGCTCCCTGAGGCTCTGGGGAGGGAGGGGTCACGGAGGAAAAAGGATCACAAGAAAAGCAGCACCGGGTGATGTCCCATGGGCGGCCCTTGGGGCCTCTTTGTCCAGCTGCGCCCGGCTGCTGAATCTCTCGCACCTGCCTGGGAGTTCTAGCACAGGTTGCACTCACTGTGATTCTGGAACAGGAACTTCCTGTTGCAATCTCGGGGCAGCCGCAAAGGTTCCTCCGCAGGAGTTGTGGCGATGCTGACCTGAAAAGTGTTGGTGGCAAAGCAGAGCTTCTGCTCGGAGAAGCAGGCATAGCGCGCGTGGGTGGCGTTGCTGGCAGTGAGGTTGAAGGAGCAGCTCCCACCATCTCCACAGTTCCTGGGGAAAATGAAACTCTTGGGAGAGTCCAACAAAGAGGCTGCTTCCCAGGGACCGTGGAGGGCTTGCAGGAGGGGAGCGAAATGCCCGATCCCCCCCTCCCCAAGAGGCGTTCTGGGCTTCCTCCAGCTCTGCAGGTAGAAGGCTGAAGCTCTGGATTGCAACCCCCCAACCTGCCCTTCAAGGAGGATCCCTTGTAACAGGAGAGCTGCCCCCCCCCCCGATCCCTGGCATGGATTTGGCCTTGCAGGACGACTGTCCAGGCTAACAGAGCCCGGCTGGGAAATGGCTGCAGCTGAGGCTCCTGCACTTTGGATGGACAGGAGGGCCTGGGGGGCTGGGGGGGGGCACAGGGCCTCATCCTCATACCTACCACTGTGCGGTGAGGTTGTACTGGGCCCTGTGAGCTGGGCTGAGGCCACTTCCCCATGTGCATTCCAGTCGCTGGATGTAGTCCGCGAAACAGGTGAGCTCCTGGCACGCGGAGGCTGTGCAGAAAGCAAGAAGCTGCCACGTCGGTTGCGGTGCCACAAAGGCCACGAAGGCCCAGTCTGCCCCCCCCCCCCTGTCTCTAAGAGCTCCCCCCTTGCCAGCAGCTAGATCTCCTGCTCTGCCCCGGAAGCCCTTTTTGTTCAGAGTCAGTGGGTGGCTGGGTGGGCACCTGCAGAAAGACCTCCAGGCCCTACATTTCCAGCAATAAAAAGGTAGCATCCTGAGGGCCGCACAGGATGGACTTTGTAATACTTGAAACATGGCTTTTGTAGTACTGTTGCACTGGCTAACAATCAAGGGTTTTCTTGTATTTTAAATTTGTTTTTTCAAATGTATTCTTAATAGTCTGCCAGAAGCCTTCACCTTTAAGTAAAAGCCTCTCTTTCAGAAACCATGAGTGGCAGGAGAGCATTGGGTACCCTGCAGATCTCAGTTTCCTTTTCCACTGTTCTCACAACTCAGGGAACAAAGAAAATACTCAAGCCCAACCTTGGGAAGCTCTGAGAAGGTGCCAGACCCAAGTCCATTTTTATGTTTTTCCTTTCCAAATGTTTCTCTTACTTCTTTTACTCAAAATGCAATGCTCTTTTCTATGGCTTTTCTCACATATTATTGGATGTTGTAACTCTTGTGATGTAATTGGATAGGGGACTATTTCTAAAGTAATCAACTTTGCTTTGAAGTCCTTTGTGGTGCTATCTGTAAAAGTCAATGCAATCCATTTTTCCTGGCTCCCCTTTTCATAGGGAGAGCCCACTTTATCAGAGTACTTTAATAATTTCTTTTAAATTATCTTCCGACTTGGTTGCTTATTGGAAAAGGTAAACTGAGCCAGAACCTAGAGTCAGGTTTAGTCAACAGTTCCCAGCAAGGTTGCAGGCGAGGTGGAGAAAAGGCAAGGAAGAGTGTTAGGCCAACAGTTCCTGGTTGACTTCCTACTTTTTCCATGCGGACATGTGGGGGGGAGATATTTTGCCATGTCCTTCTGTCCCTTTGGCCAAATGGGCACACGGTGTCTTCCACAATTGCACAGTAGCACAGTCACCACATTTTGTAGTACTGTTGTAGTTAGTACCAACTTTATGTTTTAATCACTTACATTAGCACTGAAACATGCCACTGGCTTCTAGCGTGGTATTAAAAATTTTGCATAGCCTCAGTGAAGTGCTGATTAAAATAACTAAATTAATAAACAAGATACTAAGAAACAGCCTTTCTGGTCCCTAATATTTCAGAAAATTTCCCCTCATAATTCCCTTTGGCTTTTCCTCTCTGCACCAAGCTTTTGATGTACAGATAGTGGGTCCTCCTTTCCCAGGCACAGGAAAGCAGCAGACGGGAGAAGAGGTAAAGGGGGACAAAGATACACAAACCAGCAAAGATACAAACATCACTTTTCTAGTACACAAGTGCAGGGGTGATTTGAAGCACCTTGGTTATGACCTGCATGGGATTTGCTTGTGAGTACACAAAATTGTTCATCTGCCCACCCATTGTAGGGCACTGGGGGAAGAGCTTTTCCCCACCTGCTGCATTGCAGATACCTGCAGATACGTGCAAGTTGGGCCCTGTGCTGTGCAGCCAGGATGTTTTGGGGGTGGAAGGAAGCAGGTGGGCCCGAAAAGCGAAATGCTGGGGCTGCTGGTTATTTGGATAAAGCCAGATTTGTCCCTTTGACCCACTAAGCCCTGGTTCGTCTTTGCTCCTGCCGATGCTTGGGGCAGCCAGGAGAGCGTCTCTCTGGTGATCTCTGAGGGGTCCCATGGCAACCGAGCCACTTCCCAAGGCAAGGCTTCCTAGGTGACGGTTGGCTTGACAGGTGAGAGTCCTTCCTAGCACCCTATGGAAGACCTGCAATGTTTTTTTGCTTGGGTGTTATGCTGCTGTGATCAAACTCATCAGCAGTAATTAATGTGTATTAAACCTCATTTCGGAGCAGGTCAGGCAGAAACATTTTGGACAGCTGTAGAAATGAGAGGGGGAGAGAAATCCAGACCTCCACCCCAAAAGTAGATTTGGGTCCTGGATATAAGGTCTCACCCTGAAGTCAGGGGTGGTAGATACTTATCTTCCCTACTGGTTCTCAAATGTGAGCATCCGTGTGCATTCTGCACATGTGCTTTTGGCGAACAAAAGGCCTAAATGGGATGCCATAGACCCAGGTGCGGGTGGCGAATCGGTTTGAACCAGTAGAATCCCGCCTCAGCCTGAAGTGCAGCTCTGGGTTTTTGATTTGTGCTCAGCTGGAAGGGAGAACTGAGCGGCTCTGACAAATGAAACTGGGCATCCCAGACTCTTTGGGCAATGGGGGTTGTCCAGACAGGCTTTTGTAATTGTAGGTCACTCTGGATGACACAAGTGTGTCGCTAGAACAGGCCCTCAAAATGTAGAGCCAGATGACAAAGGCCACTTACTGTGCTGAAGGAGAAGCAGCACCACAGCCATCTGGCCCAGACACATCTTCCTCTTCCTCCTTCTCCTCCTCCTCCTCTCAGGACTTCTTCACTGGCTTCTTCTGCGTCTTGGTCAAGAAGAGTTAGCAGTGGTGGCAAGTCAGGAGGCAGAGCTTATGGACCCCCAGGTGCAGGCTATATCGGGAGACAGCAGAGACATTTGCATTTCAGGGACAGGACTATTTTCCAACTCAAAGCAGAGAACCAAGCTTGAAACCATTCCCTTAGCCAGCCTGCCATCTCTTCAACCCAGAGGAAGCCCAAGGCCTCAAAATCAGACAGAGTAAGTACAGCACATTGGTCATCTATGCAGAATTTCCGATGGTTTTACAGTGTTGATCTTGTCCTTCTGTCCTAAGAGGATAGGATTTCATCCAGGGCTATTTGGGATTTTCCATAACCTTCTTTTCTCTTTTTTTAATTGAAAATTTAAAAAGCTTTTACAAATATTTACCTCCCCACCCCCTCCCTCCCCACCTGAACCCATCTCCCCTCCAACCTCCCCCCCCCTGACTTCCCAGAGCAAATACAGGGTATAAATCTTTAACAATCATATTCTAAAGTAAACTAAAAAAAACTTTAGCATCATCTTTCACTTGTACTTTAACTCCACTTTTGTTAAGCTAGCTCTAAAGAGATTATGTCATTCCTTGCTTTTTCAGTCATAAGCTATCTGGAATTTCTTAGTCCCATATTTATTTTGAATATAATCAATCCATCTTCTCCACTCTA